ATGGGGCAGGACAGAAGTTTAAACCTTTACTTAAAAGACATTCTTCAGCACATGTCAGTTCTTTTGATAAAAATTCACAATACTTTCATTTTTTTGTTTCCGTCTTTTAAATTTTCTTTTTCTAGGGCTTTAGGGTTTGTAGTATTGATACCATTAATATGCTGATGTGAAGGAACAGTGTTTTTCCTTATGTTTTGATTGTTCAATTTTTTCGATATCTTCGAGGCGACGATTCATTTGTCCCCCTGTTTTACTCCTACTTTAGTTTTAAAAAGGTCTGTCACCTTATACTTTAATCGATTTACTTTTGGCATACATGCTCTTATTGATATTATAAAAGTTCGAACCCACCGCTATATGTAATAGTTTAAGTTTTATCCCTGGGTGAATGACAGTATCGAAATCCTTCTGGAAATGAACAAAGCAGGCAAACTTATTCGTTTAGTGTATGTTTACTTGTTTTTGTTTTAATGTCTTTTTGATCGAGTTAAGCCATTTTGGCTATCATTAATGATATGATATTTATCTAAGAATTTATAAAGACGGGTGTCAAGTTTCTTATGAAAAAGCTTCCCCAGTGAATCAGTGATTGTGATTCCTCGATAATTAGATGCATCATTCCCTTTATGAATTGGGAATAAATAACCTGTGGTCCATGGTTCGGGGTATTTTCCGTAAGAAAGACAAAGATAACATTTTCTAGGAAACATGGTAGTAAATAAAATTGAGAATGGAAATGGGGAATGTGCCAAAGAGACAACAACCCGACCATAGAACAGACAACAGCAGAAGGTCACCAACAGGTCTTCAATGCAGCGAGAAATTCCCGCACCCGGAGGCGTCCTTCAGCTGGCCCCTAAACTAATATATATATACTAGTTCAGTGATAATGAACGCCATACTAAACTCCAAATTGTACACAAGAAACTAAAATTAAAAATAATACAAGACTAACAAAGGCTAGAGGCTCCTGACTTGGGACAGGCGCAAATATGGCGGGGTTAAACATGTTTATGAGATCTCAACCCTCCCCCTATACCTCTAGCCAATGTAGAAAAGTAAACGCATAACAATACGCACATTAAAATTCAGTTCAAGAGAAGTCCGAGTCTGATGTCAGAAGATGTAACCAAAGAAAATAAACAAAATGACAATAATACATAAATAACAACAGACTACTAGCAGTTAACTGACATGCCAGCTCCAGACTTCAATTAAACTGATTGAAAGATTATGTCTTCATCATATGAATATCAGGCACAATCCTTCCCGTTAGGGGTTTAGTATCATACCATCATAACATATATGAGAAGAACATAACCCGTGTCATGCCAACAACTGGTTTTTAAATAAATGTGTTTAGTGCCGATGCAAAGACCCTATAAGTGAATCAATATTAACGCCAAAATATGCAATCTTTAATGACCTGACAACAGTATCGTAACTATATCCCTTCTTAATAAGTCTATTTAAAGGTTTTGTTAGCTTCAGAGGTGAATACTGACATTTTTGTGCTTTATAAAGAATATTTCCATAGAAAATTGAATGTGAAATACCTGAACGTATAAGAAGTCTGCATGTTGAGCTATATTTACGAATGATGTCCTTATACCGATGATAAAATTTAGTACATGTTTTGACTAATTTGTGATATCGAAAACCCTGGTGTAATAATTTTTCCGTAATACATAAATTTCTCTCGTTAAAATCTAAAACATTGTTACAGTAAAGAGGTTTTACCATATTTTAACATAGTATTGGAGATATTATCTAAGCCTGTTGTTTTATTAACCTTTATAGATGACAAAGCAGTACTAAGATATTTTCAGTTTCAGAGATCCTACTGTCAAGTTCACTTAAACATTTACCTTTTCAAGAATGTTCAGTTTTTGCTCTAAAACTGACTGAGTCGTTTTTTGAGATCATCTTTTGGTTCTGTTAAATGTTTAAGATGGTTTAACCTGATGGGGTCATCAATGCACTTTTATAGTCTCTCTTTACTCTGCAGTTCATCAATCAGTTGCCAGTACTGCATGCTTGGGATTTTCATCCAAAAAAGAGTTTTTGGTGCAGTAATAAAATTGAGAATGGAAATGGGGAATGTGTCAAAGAGACAACAACCCGACCATAGAACAGACAACAGCAGAAGGTCACCAACAGGTTTTCAATGCAGCGAGAAATTCCCGCACCCGGAGGCGTCCTTCAGCTTGCCCCTAAACAAATATATATATACTAGATCAGTGATAATGAACGCCATACTAAACTCCAAATTGTACACAAGAAACTAAAATTAAAAATAATACAAGACTGTTTAAACTCCCTATATTTGCATTTACGAGCCTTAGTATATATACATGCTGTAGTTTGTAAAAGTGATCTTTAACAGCAGGATCTCTGGGATATCTGGAATATATTTTTCCATAATTCAAGAGATTATTTCTCATATATGAAAGGTTACAGTCAAACTACTTTTGATGTTTTACTTTCTTACCCGAGTGTATTTTACTTTTCTGACGAGTTATATTAGCAGCTGAGGTAATAACATCTGTTAATTCTAGAAATGCTTAATCAATTAATTCCTGTGAATCTATAGAATCTTGTTTAAGGAGTTGTTCAAGTCACTGTTGAATTTCTTTAGAAAAAAGTGCCTCCTGAAAAAAGGGCTGGATAGTCATCTGACCATATGAAACCTGGAATTGATTCATGAGTGTTAACAGTATCATGATTAGTATCAATACAAGATTTATTTGATAATGACCATTCTAACAAACAATGGTAGTCTGACAGTGTTGGTATAAAATTACATACCCTCGTATACAAAATATTGTTCATAATACTCTCTGACCCGCCGGGTTTTCTAATATCAATGATTCCAAATGATTATCTGAGTTTCCGGGATATTACTTTTACAAAATGATGATAACAAATGAAGAAAACTCCTTTTTCATATTTTTCTTATCTTTATAAAAATAAGGAGATGTGGTGTAATTGCCAATAAGGCAACTATCCATCAGAGTTCAAATACGCAATTATAGGTCACAGTACGGCCTTCAACAATGAGAAAAACCCATACCGTATAGTCAGCTATAAAATTAAAGGCCCGACATGAACTAAAGGAGAAAACTAACTTATTTATAACAAAACAATTTCCGAAAAATAAAGTATGACAGACATGAACCAACGACAACCACTGATTTAGAGGCTCCTGCATACTTTAGACAGGCACATAACGAATGTGGCGGGGTTAAACATGTTTGTGAGACTCAAACCCCCATAAACTGGGACAGTGGTGTAACAGCACAACATAAGAACAAACTATACAAATCAGTTGCAATTGGCTTAACTCTAAAGATCGGTACGATGCACAAAAACAACTGACAAAAAACAATAGACACAAAACACCGATATAAGAGTATTCGTAGTTACTGCATGGAAGCTAGTTCAAAGCCAATTACAACTAATAAATAGATCATGTTCTCCCAGACCACAGTATCAATCAGTACACATCCAACGGATTTAGTATAAAGACGTCATAAACAGACTGAGAAATGCATGACCTTGTGCAAAACCAAAATATAAGTAAAAAGTATCGACAGGACGTAGGAACAGGAGTTCTTATAACTGCATATATACAGCAATATATATTTAGTTATGTTTTATTTTTTTCTAAAACAAACTCACTGTTAGTACCGATAAAAACAACATTAAATGATTTGACTGCTGTGTTAAACTAATTACTTTTAAGAAAAAGTTTTTTTCAAAGAATAAATGAATTTACATGGATCGTATCTAAAATTAACGGGTTCTATAACATGTATAAACAACATCACAGTGCAAATTAGGATGCGGTATCCCGTTTAAATTTTTTTTACCGGTACGCCGCTTCCTAACCAAATCTGTGTATCTATGAGATAATTTCGGGTAAAGGTCTTAAATAATTTGTGGTAAAGAAATCCCTGACTTAATAATTTACCAGTTATACATAAATTACGTTCATTGAAATCTAAACTCAACTGCAAACACGAGCATAGCGAACAAGTAGTGTAATATGCACATCGTAAGAAAACCTTAGGGGCCAAAGGAACATCGCCATCCTGAAAATTAACAACCGGGAACGAAAACAGCGTCTCAATCTAATTATAATATAGACCTCTGATTTCGTTATCTCTCTAATGGAGATAATAAAATCAGAGATCTATATTTTAATCGATTTAAAGCGCTATTTTCGTTAATTTTTGTATAGAGTTTCCCATGTGAAACTGAAATATCCAATATAAAAATAAGAAATTTATTTGGGGTTTTGTGTACTGTTGTTTGTCTGTTTGTCTTTTTCTTTTTTACCCATGGCGTTACTGATCAGTTTATTTTCGACTTAAGAGTGTGAATGTCCCTTTTGGTATCCTTCGCCTTCGGGGGTGCTGGTCATTTTGAAATCAAATATATAAAATGTTCTATTAAACATGCCAAAATATTAATATGCAAAACGCTTACCTTTGACACACATGATATGTAGGATATACTGTGAAGATTCAGAAGTTCACAAATGTTTCATTAGAGATAAAATAGATCCCCCCACTTTGAATTTAAAAAAAAAATTTGAACCCCCTTTTCCACTTATAGAAACAAATTTGATCCCCCCTACATTTTGACCAGCCCTTCCTCCCAGGTAAAAAACTGATAAGTCCCTAAACAACAAAAAAAAAACATTTTCTATAGGAGAGACTGGCATACATATGTATCTATGTCTCTGCTATATCCTAGTCTTCAAGTCTAAGAGTTACAATTTTTTTTAATTTTTTTTTTAACTGAATTTTCAATAGTATTTTTACAAAAAAAAGGGGGCGTGCCCCCAGCTGCTCCTACGCAAGCGAAATTAGCAATAAAATGCAACATAAATCTCAAGTATTGCACCAGGCACCAGTTCCGAGCATGCTTGGTTAACAGGGTTAAAGTCGATTAACAGGGAATCAGTCATACACCATTCATTCCCGCCGGTTACTGTCTGCTGCTTCATGGCTTTCACCTGAGTGCTTCAACTACGAATAAGACTGGAGTACAAGTAGATGAAATGTGACGAGAAATATATAGTCAATATTCAAATGTGAAATTCCCCTTCTCAATTTAGTTGACATTTGAACTTTCAACCGGATTTAAAAAGACACGTTCGAACGAATAGAAATAGTTTGTTTCAGCAATGGATATCTTGTTCTGGAGGCCGTCGAAACGGCGGAGAAGAAACTTTTGGGACGACTCTGAGAGTGATGGTAAGTTTTTTTTCTAAAAATAAGCAAATATTCATGTCAGCTAGTGCTACTTCCGGTCTTTTTGTTTACAATTTGACGTCACGACTTCATTTTACATGTTTTGTTTCCACCAAGTCGATATAAATGATAAAATAAAATGGATATACAGGTACAGAGATAAGTTACATTGTCGAAAAAGAAACTCTATATTCAAACAGAACTGTGTATGAACGCCATTAGCTCTCTTGGCATAAATATTTTGAGGACTTTCGATTTTATTTTTACCAGGAATTACAATATTCTAAGAATCTAAATCAACTAAAAAACCGAACCAAAAGAAAAGAAATTAAACAAAAGGAACTATTTTTTTTTCGAATATATTGTAATTATGAAATGAAATATATATATTCTCTCCTTTTTAAGGTTCATCATAACAAATGGACAAAAATGGTTTTATTTACAACTAAAAAACTACTCTGAGTACAGACTAACATGCCCAGTCTGTAAAGTTTTAAGGCCAGCTGGCATCCACTAGATATATAAAAGTTAAATGCATTTTGTGTTTCAGAAAGATAAAATCTTTTTTGGATTTTGATGGGCATTTTTTTTCGTTCCTGCAGAAGGTGTAAAAAATAAACAAACACCTGAATATCATTTAATACTGTCCACTCAATTACAACCTTTAACTCACCTGCAGTTGTGTAGATATCTATTGTCCTTGCCAGTCAAGGACAATCAATACAATACAATAAGTTGTTACCTGAGAGGGAGCATCTCAAAGTTGTATCCCAACTTAGTTTATTTTTACACCTTCTGAAGGAACGAAAAAAAATGCCCATCAAAATCCAAAAAAGATTATGTCTTTCTGAAACACAAAATGCATTTAACTTTTATATATCTAGTGGATGCCAGGACTTAAAACTTTTCCAACTGTACAGGTTAGTCTGTACTCAGAGTAGTTTTTGAGATGTAAATAAAGCCATTTTTGTACGTTTGTTATGATGAACCTTAACCGAATTTCGGAAGGAAAATATCGGTTATTAATTTGGTGATGTACGGTTGCCGGGGGAGTCAGCTGCCAAACAGTGTCAGTTCAATAACTTGAAAACGCTTTAACAAAATGTTTTCAAATTTGTATATGTTGTTTCCTATGACCTGGGAACAGTATATCTAACGGGAAATGAATCTGATACGCTTTTCAGTATAAAATTGATAAAATCTCGGACTCCCCGAGACTTCCCGAGATTTACGGATTTTGGTAGCGTCTGATTGAAAAACTATCAGAACTGCTCAACAAATAAACCACATAACTCTAATTGTAAATAAATACAAGTTTTATCATTTAGTAGATATATTTTGTCATATAAAATTACCAAAATAAGTTTGATTTATTTGATGTGAAGTGTTTTATTATAGTTTGGGAATTTGTAAATCATCGCGGCAATGGCCGCCATTTTTTTTATTACCTTGTTTGCATTCTGCACAATTCTGTGATGAAATGCTTGCGATTTTAACAAATTTGAAGTGACAGAATACAAGTTTGATACACTAGCATCACTATAAAACTAGTTTGAATGACATTTTATTGATAATATCAGAAATTATTAGGATAATAGCGAGTCCGTTTTTAACACATGTCCGTTTCTGTATCGTATCTTTATTAACTATGGCACGACGATAAAATCGACTACAATCAGTTAGTGTCAAGTCCCGTCAATATATATGTTCCTGCTATGACTAAACATTTGCTAAATGAAGGTCAAGTTTGATTTTCACTATTTTAGCTTTTATCGTTGTTGAGTTGTAGACCTTAAGTATTGAAAAGTGATATTTAGATTGATTTTTACCTTTCCATTTCTGAACCCTACAAAATTTCATTATTTTTTTTTACTTGATCCTGTTTGGGGGGGGGGGGGGGGGGGTCCAGATTTGCAAATATCATTTTCATGCAGGAAAACCCAATTTGCTGTCAATCTGACAGCCTCTTGTTGTATTTATAGCCTTAGAATTGTTTGTTAAGAAGCATTTGGAAATTGGATGATATATATTTATATAGTGATGAATTATAGTGTTTAATGTCCAGTCACAAAAATTACATGCTTAACAGAACTAGTGCATACAAGTATTATGGTGTTTATGATATGGTGTAAAATCAATTTGATTCATATTTCATTCACAAGGGTTCAATTGCACCCTCCCGAAAATTTATAAGCTTATCGGGTCAAAAGGGCCACATTAGCTTTTGAGATCACTTTCTGTCTGTCTGCTGTTCAAGTAAATTTTACATATTTTTATCTCTGGAAACGTGGATCAAAATATAGCCAATCTCGTAAGAATTCCTGATCGTTCATGGAAGGCCCTTCAAAATCTATTTTCATTTATTTAAGATCCATTTAAAAACATGGTCTGGTAGACAGATGTATTCTTCTTTCTAGTTGACAAACCCCCCTCTGAAACTACACAGCGGATGTAAACCCAATTTTGTCGAAATTGATAAAGCACTTTAATTGCAAGGCATACTTCTTTATCTTAATAAGAGAGCAAGAAGGAAATACATTTGATAAGTTAATCGTTATGGAATATCTGTTCCAAAATATTTTTAGCTCACCTGACCTGAAAGGTCAAGTGAGCTTTTCTCATCACTTTGCGTCCGTCGTCCGTAAACTTTTACAAAAATCTTCTCCTCTGAAACTACTGGGCCAAATTTGACCAAACTTGGCCACAATCATCATTGGGGTATCTAGTTTAAAAAATGTGTCCGATGACCCCGCCAACCAACCAAGATGGCCACCATGGCTAAAAATAGAACATAGGGGTAAAATGTAGATTTTGGCTTATATCTCTGAAACCAAAGCATTTAGAGCAAATCTGACATGGGATAAAATTGTTTATCAGGTCAAGATCTATCTGCCCTGAAATTTTCAGATGAATCGGACAACCCGTTGTTGGGTTGCTGCCCCTGAATTGGTAATTTTAAGGAAATTTTGCCGTTTTTGGTTATTATCTTGAATATTATTATAGATAGAGATAAACTGTAAACAGCAATAATGTTCAGCAAAGTATGATCTACAAATAAGTCAACTTGACCAAAATGGTCAGTTGACCCCTTAAGGAGTTATTGCCTTTTATAGTCAATTTTTAACCATTTTTCGTAAATTTTTGTAATCTTTTACAAAAATCTTCTCCTCTGAAACTACTTAGACAAATTTAACCAAAATTGTCCACAATCATCATTAGGGTATCTAGTTTAAAAAATGTGTCCGATGACCCTGCCCGCAAACCAAGATGGCCGACATGGCAAAAAAATAATACATAGGGTAAAATGCAGTTTTTGGCTCATATCTCTGAAACCAAAGCATTTAGAGCAAATCTGATGGTATTAAATTGTTCATTAGGTCAAGATCTATCTGCCCTGAAATTTTCAGACCAATCAGGCAACATGTTGTTGGGTTGCTGCCCCTGAATTGGTAATTTTAAGAAAATTTTGCAGCTTTTGGTTATTATCTTGAATATTATTATAGATAGAGATAAACTGTAAACAGCAATAATGTACAGCAAAGTTAGATCTACAAATAAGTCAACATGACCAAAATTGTCAATTGACCCCTTCAGGAGTTATTGCCCTTTATAGTCAATTTTTTACAATTTTCATAAATTTTGTAAATTTTTGTAAATTTTTACAAAATATTTTCCACTGTAACTACTGGGCCAAGTTCATTATAGATAGAGATAATAGTAAGGAGCAAGAAGGTTCAGTAAAGTAAGATCTACAAACACATCACCATCACCAAAACACAATTTTGTCATGAATCCATCTGTGTCCATTGTTTAATATGCACATAGACCAAGGTGAGCGACACAGGCTCTTTAGTTTAGAGCCTCTAGTTTTTCTTTTTTTCTTTTTTTTTCCTTTTAAAATTTTCCATTTTAAGTTGGTTATTTCTGATTAATATTTAAAAGCAAATAATAATGATATGGTAGGAGATACACACCAAACAGGATGTGTAAATTTATATATGATTAGTATTGTGCAATAGCAAGAAATTGTCAATTGCACAGTATTGCACAATAGCAAGAAATCTTCAATTGCACAGTATTGCGCAATAGCAAGAAATCTTCAATTGCACAGTATTGCGCAATAGCAAGAAATATCCAATAGCACAATATTGCGCAATAGCAAGAAATTGTCAATTGTACAGTATTGCGCAATAGCAAGAAATATTCAATTGCACAGTATTGTGCAAAAGAAGATACTTCGTATAAATTGCTTATTTCTTGACCAATTTCAATGGGGTTTTACAGGGCCTAATCTAGGATTTTGAAGAGGGAGAAGTGACTTCTCCTTCCAAGAGAGAGAAGGGAGAAGTGGTCAATTTCTTGGAGAAGTGAGATTCCATTACCGTTTCGGTTGCATCGTGTTTTCATGCTTATCACTAAGGAAATTGTTTTATATTCAATAAAAGATATACTTGCAGTTTTTTCATATGCTATTGTACACAATGTATATATAGAAAGTTCTTAATAAAAAGGTTTAGACAATATATAGTTATTTATTTATTGATACCATTGTGTTCTAAATAAAATTTGTTGATTGGGACATGAGGGAGTAGCCTAGTAATATTATCATGATTATGATACATTAAATTCATGTGCATCTGCCTCAATTTATTTTTAAAAGTCCAGAAAAAATATAACTCCCAGTTTTCCTGTTGAATTTCACATTACTGGGAATTTAATTTATATCACCACTTGTCATTATTTTGTAAAACATTATTGAATGTCCAGGACATTATGTTAGTTGTAAATTGAGATTACCGTTAAAGATTGTAAGTCTATAAATGAAAATATTTTTCAATCGCATATTAATTATCCGACAAAGGGCTAATTTCTATCATTTTTTAAAAATATCATCCATATCAACGAAATGGTTGTGAGAAACAATCCACTGCTGATCAAAACCTGGTCGAGTGTCGTACGTTTGCCATCACATTATCCATCAGCAGTCTTTCTACCTTTTATAT